ATCATTATTCTATAACTTTGTTAACAGTTATGATAGTAATAAAAGAAAAAAACATTTTTTCTTGAAAACAGATAAATTTGTAAGATCAAGTATACCTAGTACTTATCTCCTTGGTGACTAAGTATCATATGTAAAAAAAAAACAGAAATAAATAAAACAAAACTATACTGCATATTGCAGGAACATATGCACTCTTGGCATCAATGGGTTAATTCATAGATCTGGTAATCTGGTGTGTAGTTTGCAGACAGTGATAATCAACCATAATAGTACTACTTATGTCAGGCTAAATTTTCTCTCTCTCTCTCTAGAGAGAGAGAGAACTAGAGAGAGAGAGGCGCGAGAGAGAGAGAGAGAGAGAGAGAGAGAGAGAGAGAGAGGTAAAAGAGTGAGAGGAGAGAGAGAGAGAGAGAGAGCGAGAGAGAGACGAGAGAGAGCGCGATAGAGAAGCGCGAGAGAGAGACGAGCGAAGAGGCACACGCGAGAGAGTAGAGAGAGAGCGAGAGAGGAGAGAGGAGAGAGAGAGAGAGAAGAGAGATAGAGAGAGAGACGAGGGGAGATGAGAGATGAAGGAGGAAGAGAGCGAGAAGGGAGAGAGAGATGAAGAGCGAGAGCAGAGAGCGAGAGAGAGAGAGAGAGCGGAGAGCGACGAGGAGAGAGAGCGAGAGAGAGCGCAGAGCCGAGGACCAGAGAGCGCGAGAGCGCGGCGCGAGCGCGAGCGAGACGAGCGCGAGACGCGGCGCGAGCGCGAGCGCGCGAGAGCGAGAGGAGAGAGCGCAGGAGCGAAAGAGGTAAGAGAGAGAGAGAGCGGAGAGCGCGGAGAGAGAGGAGAGAGAGAGAGAGAGAAGAGTGCAAGAGAGCGAGAGAGAGGAGCGAGAGAGAGGAGAGAAGAGGAAAGAGAGAGAGACGAGAGAGTGAGAGAGAGAGAGCGAGCAGAGAGAGCGAGAGAGCGAGAGCGCCGAGCGAGAGAGAGAGGAGAGGGAGAGAGAAGAGGAAAGAGAGAGAGAGAGAGAGGAAAGGAGACGAGAGAGGAAGAGAGCGAGACGCGGAAGAGAGAGAGAGAGAGAGAGAGAGACGAGAGTAGTCGAGATGAGAGAAGAGAGGGGGGGGGAGGAGGCCCAGAGAGAGAGAGGAGCGAGAGACAGCGAGGAGAGAGCGAGCAGAGCGCGAAGAGAGAGCAGAGAGAGTATAGAGACGAGAGAGAGATGAGGGGAGAGAGAGAGGAGCGAGAGCGGGAGCGAGAGACGAGGAGAGGGGCGAGAGAGAGAGAGAGGGGGGAGAGAGACGAGAGCGGGCAGGAGCGAGCAGAGAGAGGGAGAGAGAGAGAGAGGGAGAGGAGAGAGAGCGAGAGAGAGCGAGGAGAGAGACGAGAGAGCGAGAGAGAGTCGAGAGAGAGAGAGATAGAGAGAGAGAGAGGGGAGAGAGATGGAGAGAGAGCGAGAAGAGGACAGAGAGCGAGCGCGAGAGAGAGAGATAGAGCGAGAGAGAGAGGAGAGAGAGAGAGAGAGAGAGAGAGAGAGAGAGAGAGAGAGAGAGTAGAGGAAAGAGGAGAGAGAGAGAAGAGAAGAGAGAGAGAAGAGGCATAGAGAGGAGAGAGAGAGAGGAGGAGAGAGAGAGAGAGAGAGAGAGGCGAGAGAGAGAGAGCAGAGAGATAGAGAGAGAGATCGCGAGGAGCGAGATAGAGGAAAGAGAGAGCGCGAGATAGAGAGAGTAGGAAGAGAAGAGAGAGAGAGAGAGAGAAGAGAGAGAGAGAGAGAAGAGAGAGAAGCGAGAGAGAGAGAGAGAGAGAGAGAGAAGAGGGAAAGGAGACGAGAGAGAGAGAAGAGGAAAGCGAGAGAGAGAGAGAGAGAGAGAGAGAGAGAGCGAGCGCGAGGAGAGAGAGAGAGAGAGAGAGAGAGCGGAGAGGAGCGAGAGAAGAGGGACAGAGAGAGTGAGAGAGGGAGGCAAAGAGAGGAGAGAGAAGGGAAGAAGGAGAGAGAGAGAGAGAAGAGGAAAGAGAGAGAGAGAGCGAAGAGGGAAAGAGAGTAGAGAGAAGAGAGAAGAGAGAGAGAGAGAGAGAGAGAGAGAGAGAGAGCGAGCGAGGGAGAGCGGGATGACGAGGACAGAGAGAGAGAGAGAGAGAGAGAGAGGGAGAAGAGGCACGAGAGACGCAGCGCGAGACGCGAGAGAGAGAGAGAGAGAGAGAGGGAGGAAGAGGAGAGAGTAGAGAGAGAAGAGAGAGAGAGAGAGAGAAGGAAGAGAGAGAGAGAGAGGAGCGAGCTAGCGAGGCAGAGAGAGCAGAGGGAAAGAGAGAGCGAGAGAGAGAGAAGAGGAACGAGAGCGGGGGAGAGAAGAGCAGAAGGAAAGATAGTAGAGAGAGAGGAGATAGAGAGCAGAGGAACGAGGTGCGATGAGAAAAAGGAGGGAGGCTGAGAGAGGCGAGAGAGAGAGGAGAGAGAGAGAGAGAGGAGAGAGAGAGAGGAGAGAGAGAGGACGCGAGAGAGAGAGAGCGAGAGGAGGAGAGAGAGAGAGAGGAGAGCGCGAGAGAGTGAGAGAGAGAAGAGCGAAGAGAGGAGCGAGGAGGAAGGACGAGAGAGAGAGAGACTGCGAGAGAGAGAGAGGAGAGAGAGAGGAGAGAGAAGAGAGAGAGAGAGAGAGAGAGAGAGAGAGAGCGGCCGCGAGAGAGAGAGAGAGAGAGAGAGAGAGCGTAGGAGAGAGAGAGAGGGAGCGAGGGAGAGGAGAGGAGAGCGTGAGAGAGAGAGCGCGAGGGAGGCGAGGGAGAAGAGGGGATGCGAGGGAGAGAGGGAGAGGGAGAGAGGGAGAGAGAGAGGAGAGCGAGAGCGAGCTAGCGGAGAGGAGAGAGAGAGAGAGAGAGAGAGGGGATAGAGCGAGGCGATTGATCGGGAGAGGGAGGGAGCGAGAGAGAGAGAGGAAGAGAGAGAGCGAGAAGGGTCGCGAGCGAGAGAGCGAGGGTAGCGCAGAGAGAGCGAGCTAGCGGGCGAGAGAGAGAGCGGCGGAGCGAGGCGAGAGAGAGAGCGAGTAGGGCGAGCTAGGGAGAGAGATAGATCGAGTTAGGGTCGAGAGATCTCTAGGATCTCGAGCGAGATACAGAGCGATCGCGAGAGGAGAGCTAGCGAGAGCGCGATATCGCTCTAGCGATATCTCTTTCTCTCGTTTTCTTCTTTCTCTCTCTCTCTCGCGCGAGATCTCTAGCGCGATGCTCTCTCTCTCTCTCTCTCTCTCTCTCTCTCTCTCTCTCGATGTACTCTAAAAGACAGTAAATACCAGGTAACTATGTCTAGCACGTTTATTTTGGAAGTGACTTGAGATATGTAATAATATGACGACTGGATGTAGGGATGTGTGGGAGAGGAAAGACTAAGGGTTTGACTTGATGAAATATGTGCCAGAATTACTAATTCACACTCACTACATCCACTCTTAAGGTTGGAAAACAGAGTTATATGTTTGGCTCAGGGAGAAGAGTCCCTAAATGGGAACATGGGGTATGAGGATGATCTAGGTGTAGAAACTTGCCAAATTGTACCAGATGTATTTATGGAAACTACATACATTTCATTGATAATGAAAAGGTTGTGGGAAAAAAAATCAGTTGGTTTTGACTGCCTTATTGTGACAAATAGGATTTTCCCCTAATCACACAAAAAAACATGATTATGGCAAATTATATTATTATTATTAAGCTATTGCTGTTCATTGAAAGTACTTATCTGTATTTTTAAAAGATTTGAGAAAAAGAGTCATCAATTCTTGTTTCCAAATTTCTAAACTAACTTTCATCACTGTGTATTTTTTTCTCTCTCTTAACTGCCTTTGTTTGCAAAATTACTGTTAATGAGGTAAGATATTGTTATCATATAGGTTGGTTTTCCGTCCTCTGATTACTTTTGGTATTCATGAGAAATGATGAACGATCATCGACTCCCACATTGCACAATAAGTATCCATCTCAGAAATTATCTCATTCAAGTCCTTAAAGTCCTATCAGACCTCATAGTTAAAAAAAAGTCTAAGCGGACTAGATGTCCAGCTTCTCTTAGCAAGTGATTTGTAGTTGTTGTGGGTTCATATTTGAGATGTGAATGCAAGTGTGGATGTGAATCCAGAAATAGTAAGTATTGCTGAGCTGAGCTGAGGTACAATGCTTATTGATGCTGGGAGTGCATGTATACAAAATTAGTAAAATAAAACAGCAGTAAAAAATGTATATACAAGGTGCCAGTGGGTTGTGTCTCTTTCATTTTGTAAGACTAAATTATTTATTTTGTTGGATGTTACTAGGTAATGATATAGAAGAGCAAAAAATTAATGTCTGTTTAACCCAATGCTGCAGGGGAAAATTAATAAAGAATGGGGAAAATGCTGTGCTTTTGTGAAATGTGTCTGTACATGGATGGTTCTGCTAGTGCTTAGCCACAAAAGAGTTAATTAGTAGACCTTGTCACCTTACCAGATTTGAATTGGCGGGAAAAATGTATTTTTTATTAGTGCTCTGAATATCAATGGTGTTGTTTTTATTATAAACATTATAATTACTATAATGTTATAAACATTAGTAACAGCAAAATAAGATAACATAAAATATTTTTGTAAATCAAAGAAAAGGGTGAACGGGCAAGACAGGCACTACTTGTAATTGGCTCATTGGTGACAGTACAAGTGTAGCCATCTATATGTAAAAACAATCAAACAAGTACTCACAGTAGGCATAGCAAATACGTACATGTCATGCCCACTGGCATTGGGTTAAGAGAGAGACTTGTGTTAACCCAGTCAGCACGTATGGCAATAATATAATGTAATACAATTTTATTTATTGTATTTACACATAGATAGCTCAACAAGTGCTTAGTCACCAAGGAGTTGGTTATTAGTCTTACCTATATCACCTTTATTTTCCTTGACTTTTGGAAAGTGTCATTTGCATTATTTAATAATCATAACATCAATAACAATAATAACAGTATCAATATCCCATCAATTTCCCACCAATTCAAGGA